CAAACCTCTTTATCAGCGATTACGGATTACGTCAGAGCACTCGACGAGATACCACATCTCTTTAGAAGTTCTCACGGATAATTTCTTTTTATATGGGGCCGCGTTTACCGTTCTTCTGTTTGTTACGACCCTTTGAACGTTTGATTGGAAGAATATCTGAAAATCTGCGTGTACCTGGGAATAACGGTTTTAAAAATTGTTCCGCGAAGAGAATTTAGACGCGTCATACAATCGTACGTATAAAGGAAGGATCCATAAAAAACTAACAGCGTTTGAAAACAGCGAATCATCTGCTACTAAATCGTAAACCTCTAGTACGTAACAGCTTTAAAACACATATACAACTTTTAATTTACAAAAAATAGATATTAGATGGGTGTAACCAAATGTAGATGCTAAATAAATCGCATGTATAATTGGGAATTATTTTTTACCGAAGCTGTATTCTCCACGCAATTTCGCGCGAACGCACCGAGCTGCGTGTTTCCTTCCGAGTTCGTTATCTCTTAATTATCCTCCATTGTGGCGCGTTTCTATGTGTACATGTGTACATGTGTGTACATTTCATATTAGACTTGAAAAACACGATCTTGATCGCGCACCGTTTAATATACATAGTTTAATATACATAATTTTAGTCCCGAGCAGGGAGGTAACGCAGGCGCAGGCGCGCCTATACGTCTTCTTCTTTCCTCGCGCCGCCCGGTATTCGGCCGACTTTGACCCCTGCCCTCGCGAAATCATCCGTACTGCAATAATTTATCGCTACCAGCTCGTGTTCTCGGTCGGTAGATACTTCAAGTCCCTCGATCTAGATCGCACGGGGCGAGGGCGGGGGAGAGAAGCGCCGTTTCTCCGTGGCAGCCCTGGGAATCGAACCCGGAACCTTGACGGCTTCTTCTTCTTCTTCTTCTTCTTCTTCTTTCGTACTTGCCGCTGCGCATCTTCCACGGATCGCGCAAAACACCGCCACGCAAGTTTCTCCCTGCCGTCAATTTCGTCAATATCGCTGGATACGTTTCCCGTTATGCGAAACGCGCAAACACGCGGGAGCCTCTCTCGAAACGGCGGCGCCTCCGCAATATTCAATATTCAATATTCCTTGCGCGTCGCTACGTTGCACGGTCTTATTGTTTTTCGACTACTCATCATCGCTTCGTGTAATGTGTACCTTCGTAAATGGCATATTTTGCGGATAACACATCATATAACTTTGCATACGGGAAAGCATACGACGGGTTCGTGTGTACTGGTCGAGTAATAATATGAAAGGTCAAAAGCTCCTCGTAATAGGAGTTTTAACTTCTGAGTTCGAGATAAGTAAATTTCATTACTAGACTTTTATTCATTACTAGACTTTTTCTACGAAAATAAATTGCGCGCTAGTTGCGGAATCAAGATTACAAGATAGCCGAAATCATTTATTTACATCTTCGTTCCACAATCAATAAGGTGAGATTTCCTCGTTTTTCTCGTTCTCTTCCCCGTGCGTGCAAAAGACTCGCTTGTCTCACTGACGATTTTACAAATCAATTTTACAAATTTCGCTGGATACACTTCCCGTTATGCGAGCACTGAACATTTGTTTCTAACGTTACACAGGTAGAAACGTAGAACCATAGAGATTGTACAAAATTTCTGCATGAAAGCAAGTTACTGCATTGCTCGCCGATTTTGTACGATCCTATCTCCGAAAAAAATATTTATATACACTTTCCTCTTTTAAAATTTACTTCTATTTATTCAACTATATTCTTTTCATTCCCAAAGTTGGACAAAAACATTAATCAGATTTAAATTCCAATAGAACAATAAATAATCGAGATAACGCGATAACGATTTTATAAGTGGCAGTGGAAAAAAAATGTCGAAGTAAAACTGCTAGATTTACGAATCTGTTTATCATTAAGGATTCGCTTAAACGTTAACTCAAGCAGCAGGATTCGCCTCGGGAAAACATCCTTTCTTGCACTATGTGGCCGCGGAAACGACCTATTGCGGAATGCCTGGCGGTACTGCCACTTTGGCAATTTCCCTGCGGACGATGCGCGGGATGCCGTTAGCCGAGTGCGAAGCGGAATCTTCGCGGAAACGCTTCGCGAAGCGACAGTAGTTCCTGCTGAACAATAGCCCTTTTTACTGCGGCTGGAAAGAAGGCGCTCGAGAATTTCTATTCTGCCCCCATCTTCTTCTTTCTTCCGCTTTTCCCCTTTCTCCCGTCGTCTCACTCGTCGTTATTTCTCTTTCTCTCTCTCTCTCTCTCTCTCTCTCTTCTT